TATATACAAGACTCATGAATCATGATGGCAGTGAGGCAAGGAAAACTGTGTTATGTTATAAGTAGCACAAGCTCACACAAATCTAAGGGCATTGGAACTTAAAAAAAAAAAAAAAAACAAAAATGTAACAACCAAACAAACACTCCCCACTAAAAGTGCATGCATTTATAATAATCTGTTCGAAATTCCACAACCGTTCATCTTATGACAAGTGGCCCACATGTGAATTAGTCTCAGAGATCTGATGGATATAAGGATGAGATGACAACGACTCTTCCATCAAGTGGGCCTGGTCTTGGACCTAGAAGAAATGTCTTTGACTTGGCCCAATTGAGTAGATAGCTCCCAGTCCGAACCACCCCACTCATGAGTCATGACTAGTCTCACTTCGAAGGTTTTAAAGCTTGTGTACCTTTTCACTGTAGCTTGTGTTGCATACTATCATGTGGGGTCGACCTAGCGAAATTTTCGCAAAAAGAGTATGTAAAGTGCAAAACACCATCCTTTTATTCCAAAAAAGTCTGAAAAAATAACTATAAAGCTATAAAGTAAGATAAGGCTGGAAACTCATTAATATTTCACAATAGATGGCTTGACTAGTTACATCCCAAACAAACAATCCAACTTAAGTTACACTCTTCCACCCGGGTACCCGATTTTTTTCTTTTTTCCTGCTTCTACAGTTCTATGGTCCCAACTCTCAACTCCCAACTCCCAACGGTAGTTACTAAATAATACAGTCTACAAGTACGAATACAGTACATTTTGGATTCAAGAATTAAAAAAAAAAAAAAAGATTGAAAATTCGATCAAATGTATATGGTATAGTCAACACATTGGTTAAAAAAGTTTTTTTTTTCAAAAAATAAGCATTTCCATATCATGAAAAATCCATATTATTCATGTATTAATTATTTAACTATATGTTTTCTATGAAAAATAGGAAATACATCTATAATAAATATAGACCTCTTAGGATATAGAACTCATCTGTTGATCTTAAAAATTTAATGTATATAGAAGAGGGGTAAAAAGGTTAAAAAGGAAAAGGGAGGAGGACATGAGAAAAGGAGCAGCAAATGATTAAGATGATTAGGATTGTTATTAGTGTAAGAACAAAAGCAGTAATTTTGTGGGTTAGAGAGGAATTGTGTGGTCCTCCTCCTGTGATGCTACTGACATACAAAGCTGAACTAACAAGAAAGAGAGAGAGAGAGAACATGAAGGCAGAATAATGTAGGGATGCAAGGGGACAATGTGGTTCAGATGAGATAGAACAACATTTTGTCCCACTCACTCTAATTACAATTTAACATCTACCTATTGGGGTGGAGGGGTCTGGGGACTTTTATCCCCTTATGTAGGCCGGAATTAAAGCCTGCTTTGAGGGCTTCTCCCTGTCTTCACTTGTACAAGGCCCACATATTTTATTTCAGCAAGCAGGTAGATTACTTTTTTGTTTTTCGACGATGATGATGAGGTAGACTATTGACTTGTAGTAAGTTTACTCATTTTTTCTGGGCCCTCTTTTGCTTTTTCAGGTTTTCCAGTTTTGGTCTCAACTTGACAGTTTTCTACTTGGCCATGCATCTCCGATTTGAGTTTTAAATTAATTACAAGACTTCCAAGGTTTATACCTTTGCAAGTGGGGAAAGATTGCAATTTCTTGTAGAAAGTGTTTTTTTTTTCTTCTTCTTCTTTTTCTCGTTTTGTGTATTAAAAGAAATTCAGTTTGCAATACTAAGGTGGATTGCATTCGGTTCCTCATGGTCATGGATCCCGCTCCGAAGATAATAAAGAAAAAAAAAAAAAAAAAATTGAAAATGCTGTGGCTGTGTTCCTCGAAAAAAACCAACCCCGTTTGGCCCACCATGATCCGACCAGCACCGGGCTTTTTCCAACCCGGTTCTGAAACCACATTGGAGAAGGGTCAACGCCTCAAGGGCCCTATTGTTTTGGGACTACGGATGCCCCGCATTTGCCCTGGTAATCTGGTTAGATACTGAACCACACCACGCCCTTTATAGAACTTCCCACCATAAATACTCTTTTACTCTTTTGAAAACGTTGGATTATTGATTAAGTTACTTAGTGAATTGGTTAAGACTTAAGAGGTATGACTTGTTTGCAGTTCACTCAAAATAGGTAGGCTCTTGAAATAAATAGCTGATATAGGAGTCCTAGGGTTTGAAATTTTGAATGAAGTATGGGAAGTTCTATGACTTGTTGCTTGCTTCAATAGAAAAACAGGGTCACCGCTCACACCATGTTTTTCTTATTAGAAAGTTGTACGTCATCTTCAACCACAAAAGGTGCAGATTTTAACAAGAAAAGCCCAACCCCACGAAAGTGGTTCTGCTTTTCAGATTAGTGGGGTTCCCTACTTCTTTCACCCAATAAAGAGGAGCTATTTATTGCACCTAAGACCTGAAGCCATGATTTGGTTCATTTTACGGGTCACAAGCTCACTCTGGGATTGTCAATTGGGTCCTTTGTCAAAACATCAACACATTCAGTCACTCAAAATGCAAATTACAGCTAATTACTTCAAAATTTTAAACCGGTTTCTTTAGTTTCTTTTGGTAGCAAGAAAATTCATTCAAAGAAACAACAAAGAGAAAGTCCAAAAACAACTGAGACCAACAACCACAAAACAAAAGGAAACACACCAACACTAACCTATCTACTATGATAGCTTTAGGAAGATAACCAACCATTATAATCTTCACTAATATATACGAGCGACATGTATGCATAATATCCTTCTTAATAAATGACAAAACAAGAAATTTTAGTAAATACGAGTTTATGCAAGTCTTTAGTTACTTCGCCCTACCAATAAAATAAGATACCTAAGAAAAGATAGATCCAACTTTGGTTTGTAGATGTAGACACAGAACACGTATAATCTACCTGCATAGGGCACTGCTGGAATGACTGGATTTTAGTGCCATTTCATCCACATTGGGCTGTTTTGATAGCATTAGGGGTACAGGGTTTGGTCCAACCCAATAATACGAGTTCATTACAAATGGACCAGATCCAATCTGAACCATTTTGGACCAGACATTTCAATCTGGACAGTCCAATTTGTTCAGATTGGTTTTAATCCAAACCTGATCTATTGACACCTGTATTCTCATCTTCTATCAATGGACCGGACATTGGTTCAATCCAACCTAATCTAATATAAATCTATTATGGATGGACCAGGTCTAATCCAATCCAATAAATACTTTGGATCATTAAGACTAAATTGGTCCAATTCAATATGTCTTATTGGTCTGTTCAATTCATCCAAATTGATTTTGATTTGGACAGGGTTCAACTCAAAACCATTCCATTTACACCCCTAGATAGCATCATTCATGCATCGATATCTGGATACTTAATTTGTGGAAACAACTAGAAAAATTCTAAAAAATATATAAAAAAAGAAAAAAGTAATTAATCATTAAATTTAATATTGCTTTACTGTTAACTAGTGAATGACCAAGTTAATTATATTTATATATATATATATGAATAAACATTAATGATTATTATTACTATTTATTATTATTGTTTATAAACTGCCATTTTTAAGACACTCATACAGTCTATGGGACCACATAAATTGACCCTTATATGTCAAACCTATAAAATTATACGGGTCACTAAATTCAACTCGAACCATTTGTTACTTTAATTTAACCATTATTCTTATTATTATTATTAATTTATTTTAGTATTTAATTTAAATTTTTTGTTATATAGCAATAATATTAACTAAATTTGTAATTATTTAAATATTTACTTAAAATATTTTTTTTCCAACCGACTATAATTATTATATAATAGATTTATTAATTCATATTTTGCATTTAAGAATAAACATTATTGATTTGGCTTAACAATTTTAATGATTGTTAATGAATATTGATTCTTATTTAAGGTTTAATTACTGTATTCAGTAATTATTGTGGGGCATGCTTTGAATAAACATTAATGATAATTGATTATTGTTATTTTATTTTTTAGTATTTACTTAACTAAGTACTTGATGATTATTATTGTTATTAATTATTTCTATAAATAATTGATTGTTATTATTATTTACTTATTTCAGTAATTTTCAGCAAGTAATTATTTGATTTAATTTGAATTAATTCATTTTTTAATTATTTATAATAGACATTTAGGGTAGTCTATTTATTTGATTTAAGAGACTTACCATGTTTTATCTAAACAATGACCCCATACTAAGTAAGGGGAAACTACAGTATCATTTAATTTGAAACTTCCTATTTAACAATAAAAAATAAATGTCATG